GATGTGTGTATTGTGTGTACAATCTATAGAAAGAGAAATGTACATCAGGTCCGATCATCCGATTTTCACGTTTCGGTTTTTTGGACTCGGTTCATGAAGGTATTTTGGTTTGGCTCCTGGAATGTGCGAAAAAAATGACTCCCGGGACTGTCTACAGGGAACACTCGCACATTCGCGGTGTATCAGGACAGCGCGACTGGTCGTCATTAGCGCAGTAACAGTTGCATAAACGGACGAAACCATTTCAAAGAAATGGGGATGTTTCGAAAATAAGCATTTACTCCAATATCAAAACAGCTACGGTAAAAATAAAAAGACGTGCATCATCCCGGACATAATGCAACACCACATGCGAAATTACACAGAAATGCGACGTACGGAAGAATGCGTTTTGGCTGCGAACATCTTCCAAAAACCTTGGCATCTCTTAACCATGGGCAAAAACATCTGGAACCACTTATAAAAACCACCCCGTATCTGCATGAACTTTTTTGAACCCCACTGCTATTCCAAACAACGCGTTTTTCTGGACCATTCCAATTCGCCTCGTAATTCTAGGGGTGCGTCTGCGATATTACATTGACCGCGAAAGCAGCAACGGCAAAAATACACATTCGTGCATCAACACGGGCATGCCCGCAGACGGCGTATAAAATTTCGTGCCGATTACACAAAGAGAACCCAGTGTTTTGACTGCGAACATGAAAAATCAGCCGATTACAACACTCCGTCCGGAGGTCCTGACCTCCTTCACGGAGTAACAAAGCAAACACATAATGATTTGTCTCACAGGCCCCCTCATACATTGGGTCAACAGGTGCTGGATACATGTACATGTACTGTCCTGTCCATGGTAGCAGTGCCACCTGGGAGATTCAAACAGTACTGCAAGCACCAAGAAACTCTATGGTAAACCTTGACCTTCACAAAATACTGCTGTCTAACCCTATATCCAATACAAATCTGGCGCCAAATGGCTACCTTAACATTTTGCTATAGGGTAATAAGACTAACAGTAAGACGAACCTCATCATATCATAAAAATTCCTTCCTCAAGGCAACATGAAAGTTATAAATTATCTTAATATTAATATACTATTCATTTGTAAACCATCCCAAGAACATGCATGTTGCCACCTTATTGCTGGCAATAAAAATGCAAATGTGCTCTAGATCATGTACATGTACCTACAACTATGCATGATTCCAGTGCGCCAAAATTAGCTTGATTAGCATCAAAATATTGACATTTAACAGGAGCCTGTCAGATCCCAGCGAAGCACCAAAACAGCTCCTGCATATGTCAGTCTGTACATCTCACCAGAAATAGGTTTCTAATTAGAGGGAGAAGAACTGTCAATATTTACTCTGATTTCTCTGTGGGCTAATCTGAGTTGATATGACCTCTACTAGAAAAAATGGCAGGAATTTTGTACCCTTTTTATCCCACTGAGACTGCTGTGACAGAAAGGAAACAGTACAGTAGGTTCAGATTTGCTTTTTCATGTTTCCCCAATTGAGTTAACATCCAAAACCTATACAAAACACTGGTCCATATTGTAGCTGGGGGAGTAAGAACATCTAAGTGATGCGTTGGAGCAAATGTGTTTGTTTAACCTTCTCCTTGCTGCATAATCACAGAACCAATACACATTTGGTGCTGAATGACTAGCTTAGATGCTAAAGGTTACAACATTCTGTCCTGCAAGTATACCAATAACATTTGAGAAGACTGTTGCTCAAGATAAGTCTTGAAAGGTAGGGTTGAAAACCAAAATACTGTTTTCCCCCAGGCTTTTCTGTAATTTAGCATGACCTGTTGGAAATGAGAAGAATTTTCCCCAGTCCCATCTTACAGTGAGCTATAATCTTGGAGACGTCCCACTCTCCAACCGTGAAAGCCTTCAGAAATAACCAAGAACGGCTACAGGACCCACAGAAGGTCAACCTGACTTAGGTTGTGTCTTAAAAAGTGGGTAAGGAATTTTGAAAGGTCTCGAAAAGTCGGCCTGTGTCAGCATTCCAGCTCCTTACATGGACACAGTCGAACTGGGGTCACGGGAACTTCTTAAGACTTCTGCTGGCTCCTGAACTATGGTCTTACAAGGAACTAGGGAGCGCTTGGCTAATGTCTTAAACATGGACACAAAATTACATATAGGTACTGCTGACTCCAGGATCAATGTAAGACAAGGCCAACATTTTAATGTGATTTACTTATGACTGAAATACTGCTCACTAATATAATAATTCTTAAGTCTAATATTTTTTAAGAGTTTGTTTCAATTTGATATAATAAAAAGACGAATGGCATGTGTGGCCAACAAAACAGTACCAATCAGTGAAGGTTGGAGGGTAGGTATAAATGTACTCCTGCATATGACCTTGCCAAGGTGCTTCTTCACCTTGTAAACATGTATTTCCTTAAAACACTGACAAGAAGCAAGACCCTCAGGTTCCCAGATACGACAGCTTAGCGGGTGAGACAGAAACACAGGAAGGGCAAAAGTTGAGCAGACAAAACTGCTATAAACAGTCTCGGTTTGCATCCTGAACCAACCTTCTCAACATGTCAGCTCAAAGTCAAAGTCATGTAGTACACCTGAAAAGGCTGAATAACTGGAAGCACGGAAATGAAAAAAAAGTCATTCTGTCATCTCTCCAACTATTTATCTTCAAACTTACCTAACACAAACCACTGTTTTTTCAATCTTCTAGTTTTTTCAATCTTTTCATCTTCTTCAATGGGGAACATCTAGTCCTAGCCTGCAATACACACTGACCTGCTAGAGGTCTCTCTTAACTGCATCCCACCTGTAACTTAGTGTAAGGGACTACCCTGTGTATGTAGTTCATCAACTTTAGTATTTCAGACCCTTTGAAACTAGAAACAAACTATTATATGAACTTCATCTACATTATATCAATGCCCAAGTGCATGATATGAATAAATACTTCTTAAATGAAAAAATAAATTCAATTAACCATCTAATTAATCGGGTAACTTACCAATCAATCAACCCATCAACCAACCAACCAACCACAATCAGCCATTGAATAAACAATCATTTAATCAATGACTTCTTGCCAAATTCTTGGCAGGGGCAATTAACATAGAAGTTACCAGTGTGTAATCTTAGCTTGACTGACATGTTGAAGTGACTAAACAGACAAACCTCAAGAACCCCAGCAACGGTACAACAAGTTTGAAGTACAGCTAGGTGGGGAGGAGATAAACTATGTTATGAAAGGTGCATGTTCCCAGCAGCCTTGCCACTCCATGTCCTAACAAGCATGGTGATTAAGGCCCATATAATTGGTGTGTTTGTCTGCTGGCATTACACACTGACAGGACGGTATGTGGATTTATGACCTGAACCTACAGCAACAGAAGGAAGACAATGGCTTCCAGGATAGAAGTGTTAACCGCCGAAATGAGTCCTTAGCATGGTTCACAGAATTTATCATAGCGCAGTCAGAATCGGGAAAGCCAGGCTATAATATATGTCGTTGTAATCCTTACAAGTCAGGGAACCTCGGGAAGTTCACTTGAAGATCACACTTGTACACAAAAACGAGCTTTGTAGCGTCAAAGTTGACTCATTTCCATTTTTCGGCGAGGTTTCCGCCATTGGATTTCCGTCAAAATACGCACCCTATGGGGGTTTCGCGGTATCTGGTTGCATCTGTTTCCGGGTCACGTCCAGCGACGTCATTACCCGGCGAAGGGCCGCTGCCAAGCCAAGGGCAGTGTACTGCGCAATACTCACCCTTTCGGGAAAGAATGCTCAAGAATTATATATATATGGCTCTTTTGCTTCAACTGAACGAGCCACTGACATGTATGCACATGTGTAAAAACGAGTACGCTAGCAATCATTCGATAGCCGATACATTTTGCCTGTATCGTTGCAAACACGTCGACGACAACACGACTTTCACCTGAATCACATTGCGCCCCGAAAATTACCTAATTTTTACCAAAATTGTTGTTAGACAGCATGAAGACAGTCCGACTTTAAAAATCTCAATCGTTGCAAAATCGTCTCCCGTGTATATAATTGCAATCATACAGGTAAAAGTCAGGCTTCAAATCGGAGTGCATAGAAGTGTATAAATATTGTCGCCCGGCCCATATAGGCTGATAGGACACCATGCATGAGTACGTGGGATACAGAAATCACATGATTTAAACATAAGTATAAAATAATCATCAACTAGAAAGGTGACCTTTGCAAAGCCGTTACGGTTCACAACTTCTTACCAAAAATCCTTCACCTTTGGCGAGTACTATGGTCTGCCCTCCGCGTGTATCATATAAATGATACACGCAAACGTCGGGTCGTCTTCGAAGTACCTTATGTATCATTTCAATGATGCGTGTAACTACATAGGTTTTCCAAAGTCGGACTGACTTCCAATATAGTAACCCCACTATCATATCTACGCATGTGTGAGACGGGTACACTGTACCAGCAATCATTTGAATAGCTAATAGAAGAGTTACCACTTGGCTCTTAAAAAGCCGCGCCAATAAGGTTTCGCAACTTCTTCCCAAAAATCCGATTACGCTTTGGCGAGTATATTAGGGTCTGCCCTCCGTGTCTATCATATAAATGATACACGTAAACGCCCGGGGTCGTCCTCGGAGTGCTTTTTGTATCATTTCAATGATACGTGTATATAACTACCTAGCTTTTCCAAAGTCGGACTGACTTCCAATATAGTAACCCCACTATCATATCTACGCATGTGTGAGACGATAAAAAAAATCCCTTACACCCTTTGGCGAGTACTCTTTCTCGCAAAGGCGATTATGGTCTGCCCTC